AGGTTATATGTAGATGGCGTTTAGGAGTTCTTGGAAGCAAAAGGCCAAGAGAAATAACAAGTGGGGTCGAATTCAAAACTCAGGAGTGGTAAGTTTTGAAGTGTTTGATGATTTTGTTTGAGAGTGTTTTAAGGGTTTCAGCTTCCCGTTTTTTACTCTCTCTTTTTCTCTTGCCCAAAAGCCCCCCTTAGATGTGTTGTGAAGTAGCTTATTTATAGATGAAGTTTGACTGAGATTTAGGGGGGGAAACCAATAAATTTTTAACAGTTTGGGTATACTGTCTTCATAGCTTTTGAGGTGCAGCTCTCATATGCTAGTTTGGTGCAAATTAGGAGTAGCATAGCAGGACTGCTTTGCAGCAGTTTTGGAGTGTTGTGGCAGCTTGGTGCAGGACTGTCTTTCAGTATAGCAGACTGTTTTTATATGGTTTTAGGCTGTTATGTGGACAGTGCAGCAAGCTTGGGCTTGACATCAAATAGGACTTCGTTCAGTAGCCTTCAACCAGACTCACCAAAAGACAAAACACCAATTGTGTGTTCTTCGAATGGACCCATTGTATGTCCTTTGAATGGACCAATTGTATGTCCTTCCAATGGTCCAAATGCATGTTCTTCGAATGGACCATATTGTATGTCCTTCGAATTGTCCAAATGTATGGTCTTTGAATGGACCATATTGTATGTCCTTCGAATGGTCCAAATGTATGGTCTTCGAATGGACCATATTGTATGTCCTTCGAATGGTCCAAATGCATGTTCTTTGAATGGACCATATTGTATGTCCTTCGAATGATCCAAATGCATGTTCTTCGAATGGACCATATTCATGTCCTTTGAATGGTCCAAATACATGTTCTTTGAATGGACCATATTGTATGTCCTTTGAATGATCCAAATGCATGTTCTTCGAATGGACCATATTATATGTCCTTTGAATGGTCCAAATGCATGTGTTCTTCGAATCCAACAAATTCATGTTCTTCGAATGGGCCACTAGATATGTGTTCTTTGAATGGACCATATTGTATATCCTTCAAATGATCCAAATGGACCATATTGTATGTCATTCGAATTATCCAAATGCATGTTCTTCAAATGGACCATATTCATCTGAATGCGCCATTTAAAGTAGGTTGCTCGAAGGAAGCCAATACCCAGTCGAAGCTTTGTGAAATCGAAGCAAGCTTGCAGGAAACCAAAGTCCAGTCGAAGCTTGGGTAATCGAAGAAAGCTTGAAGGAGGCCAAAGTTCAGTCGAAGCTTGGGAAATCGAAACAGGCTTGCTCTTCTTTGATTTGATGCTTGAAAACCCAATGTGATCCATGAGAACTATATGGGACATTTAAAAGTCCAATTGTACTTGCGCAAACTTGAACTTTTGAAAATCTTTGTTAAAAAAGTCTTGAAAAGAGAGAGGAAAAATTTTGAGATACAACAATGAGTTTTCAACAACACATACAAAAGCCTTCTTAAATCTAGCCAACTCACCTAACTCTCTATTAAACTCCATATGAGGAAACACCAATTTCATATTATTTGCACGAGTGACTTGGACATTAAGTCTCCTCCCCTTAACCAGAACCCCTTCCTTCTTCAAACTAAAAAATGTTCTTGGGTGTTGATCTTGTTTATGAAGATCTTCACACCACCCCCACCACCCCGAAGCCCCTCATTCTTATGTTGACCCCTAGCATGTTTTGGGATATTTACATGTAGCTTTCTTCTCCCAACAAAGATATTATCCCGCTTTATCACCATCAACTCCGAATCTTAGACGTCGAAAAACCTTACAAACTCATACTTTTTCCTCTAATATATTTTTTGGTGGGATAATCACTTCATCTACCTTCCCATAGTCACTAAACACCACGTACAACTCCTTTGCCCCACGGTCCTTCGGGAACTCAATGAAGAAGAAGGTTGTTATTGACTCCTCTGAGACACCATGACGTCTACTTGTTTTGTTGTAACTGGTATCCCACATGAGACGCATGCACTACTCCGAAACCCTTCCCCACTCTCGCTTTCTCTCCTCTCTCATACTTTTATAACACAATTTGTTATTGTAGGCAATCATCACCAAACGGGTTTTTTAATGAATAGTTATAATTTATATAGTGATGAATTAAAAAAATATTAAAAACTGAATTGCCTCTTCAAATATAAATCTCCAGCAACAACTTGGTTTTAATATCTCTTAAGGATAGAAAGATCTCATAGTTCTCCCATAAACATACGTTGATCAATGGTTATTTTGTAAGCCATCCTGTTGCTCATATTTGTTTTATTGTTACATATAAGGTTAGATTAAATATTTAATTAATTAAATATGGATTTACATAATCAATTATTAATTAATTATATTCTCAATATACCATAATAGTATTGACTATTTAGATAAATTTAATGAGAGATCTCTGCTCACAATCGTTTAACTATTTAAGCATTGTCTCATTAAAATATTCTAAAAACCATAAATGACAACAAGGATAGTAATCCTTTCATATTTGAAATCCTATTCTTCATAGTACTGATGTTAGACACAATGTCCGGGATAATGTGTATAATATTCTTATAAAAAATTATCAGATACTAGAAAATAAATCATAAAATAATAAAGATCACATAAGATTGTTAGCCCAGTTTGATGCAACGTCACCTGCGTCTAGAGGGCTTCCAACCCAAAAAAAGAAAATTTACTCTCAATAGTATTAGTACAAATAATCTTAAATGAACGACCTTTTTCATTACTTCTCTTCCTAATACTACCCATGACTTTCTATTTAAGACTCTCCCTAAATATGAGAATCTCTCTCACTTTCTCTCAATCACTAACTCTAGTGATCAATACATAAAACATATTTAAAGATTGTTAAATTATAACTCGACTAACATAATCAATCTTTATGCCTTAATATAAAACTTGGGCGCTATAAAGACTCAATTCACAGACCCTAACACCCTTGATATATAACTCTTGATTCATGTTTTCTTTATTGGGAATGAGTCTTCGTATGTAGCAAACCATCTCTTGAGCTTTTCTCCAACGAATTTTAGATTTGATAATACCAAATTTAATTTAGATGCAAATTTGATTTGCTTTTCAAAATATTTATCAAGAGATTTGTTTTGATTTGATCTTATTAAATCTTTTTAACAAATCTTACTAAATAACATATTTCTAAAAGATACAACAACAAATCTCTTTAGAAACAAAGATAGTCATACTCAGATTTACTCACAAACTCTGACTCACAATCTGATATCAGATGATGCATACATGTTAAAATATCTTATCACACATGATGACTCTTCACAAATAACATCTTATTACTCATATTGTTTTAACTAAAGTAGTCAATCAAGCAAACAACAATTATCCCTTTGACAAATTTTGACAAAAATAACTTTTATAAATATTACAAGATTTGTATAAGTAAATCTTTTCAAAATCATAATAATGAGCATAAAATAGCACACCACATCAAAGCATTCACAAGAACAAACAAAACATATATCAAAGATCATGTAAGATGGTTGTTAGAACATATGCACATCATCACTACTCCCCTTTTAACCATAATTTGACAAGGCTAGACAGAAAAAATTATAGTAGCAATAAATTGGCGTCTCGCACTCATTATAGATCATGGAGACAAATACAACTCATCTATCACTCTCTGACACTACTCAGACACTCCTCTTCGAAAACATGTCATCATCGCCACTATAATAAAAAAAAGGAAAATTTAAGCCCCCATAAAATTAGGATAGTTCCAATAGGATCAAGGCAATATTACTTTGGGAAAATGTGACAATGGGGTTAGGTTGGACATGAAGCATGTGAAGGTTTGGGAGTTTGGATATGCCATGCCTTACAATCTTCCTAACCCCATTATGATCAACTTTAGGAGGATATATCATACAAAGCACCATGGAAGGTAGTGATGGACTCCACTTTAGCACAATGATTCATTTATCATGCCCTCCAACTAAGCCTTGTGTAACATATTGTTCCTTGGGTCCCAGTGCCGTGACCCCCAAAATATAAATCTACAATCTTTTTAATAAATGAGTATACAAATCTCATTTTATAGAATCCTGCATGTGTTATCTCTCACACACATTTAAACTTATATATTTTATAATTTCCACACAAAACTTGTTATTTAAACTCGTAATTTACTAATTTTTGAACCATATGATGTAATACCTTATAGTTACATTTCTACATCTCATTTATTTTTTCTTATGCAACTTATACGGATTACAAAATTACGCAAACTTAAAAAAAATTAACACCGCATTTTTTATATATATCCTTTAGTGTGATGACAATGTTCCTATCCTCCTCTTTTTATTTTGCTTTTTTAAACCTATGATTTTGGAATTCCAGAAAGCATCATGCTTGCATATTTTAATTTGGCTTTATTCATTTCTTAAAAAAAATGTTTTATTTAAATAGGCAATTCAGATTTTAAAAAATGAATATTTTAATACACAATTCTAGGCAGAAACACTGGTTATTGTATATATAAAATAAGTTTGAATTTTCTTTTAACAAGATGAGATGACCGAGTTGGTAAATTTTGTGATAAATTTGACTATAATCTTTTATTATATATAGATAAAGACAAGATAGTTTTTTTTCTTCTCGTATCTTAAAAGGTAAATTTATTTTGGTCTCTTAATTTTTAAAAGACTATTTTAGAAAATTTATTTTAGTCCTTTAATTTTTAAAAGGACCATTTTTGTCCCTCAATTGTATTAGACGTATCAAATTTATCCTTTACCGTTAGTATCGTTTAACGCTGTTAAATATGTTTCTATTTTCCTCCATGTCAGTTTCACGTAGAATTTCTTCTTCTCTAAACGCATCTATAAACAAGAATGCCATCTTCTTCCTCTCAATTAGGGTTTTGCAAAATTTGCCATTTTCTTCTCTAAACACATCTCTGATATGCAAAAATCTTCACGCTACAAACATTCATTGTGAAGAATAATGACTTATAAAAGTTCATCTTCGTCACATAAGACGTCTGGGTATGGTGGAGAAGTGAATAATTATTCTGAATCCATGTTTCATTCTTCTTCTTTGAAAAATCAATGGAGACCTAACTACTGTTGTGGTGATTTTGCTATACTCAAAAGGACAACAACAATTAAAAAAATTGTGAAGCAATTTTGGGGATGTCCCCACTATAAAGTATGATTTTTCTTTTAAATTTGCAATTTCAATTTCACATTGTGGGTAATGTTGTATGTAACATGTGCAGGGGAATATAAATAATGGATGTGATTATTTTGATTGATTTTGTGATGAAGTGGAAGATGATAAGGACATGTTTATCAAGAATAAAAAAAAAGAGATTGGAAATGTTAGCAAATAGAATGAAGATCAACATTACAAATTGATTAAATCTGAAGGATTAACTGAAAGACAAAGAGAGAAAAATTGATGCACAAAAGATAGAGTTAGAAGAACTTGAGGGGGATCTCAAAAACATAATGAAGTGGAAGAAATTTTGGAAAAATTCATGCTTTATTGATATAAGTATATTAATCTACAATTTATTAATGTAATTGTATTTCTCCAAAGGTTGTTTATGGAATGAATGAATTGTGTTTCTCCAATGTTATTTTATGAGATCATTGAAATGAAATTGTGCAATGTTATTGATCATCTGGTATACTTACTGGTATATTTGGCCTTAATTTAACTAGTATAAATTGTGCAATGTCCAGCTTGTGTAATTTATTCTTCAACTGGTATAAGTTATGTTAAAGTTAGCTGGTATAATTTTGTGTAACTTAACAGGTATAAGTAGTTTAACTTAGCTATTATAATTTGAACAAATTAACTGGTTTAACTTAGCTGTTATAATTTGAACAAATGTCATCGACAAAGTAGCTACAACAGAGTAAAAGCAAAATATGTTTTTCATTGTATCATAACAGAATTCCCTTATAAAGGTTCCAAAACATAGTACCAAAAGAAGTGGCATAACATACCTAAAATATAATGCCAAAACGTAGTACCAAAATAAGTGGCATAACAAACCTAAAACATAACATTATTTCATAACAAAGTACTAAAATAAGACCTAAAACATCATAACATAAAAATATGTTTTTTCTTCTTGCTTGTTTGAGAGAAAGTGAGCCTAGTTG